ATCTTTCAGTTGCACCAGGCACAGGGTTTTCCTATTTTTACCGTTTTCAGAATTTTCCACCAAACCCATTTCATGTCATCACACCACTGTTGAGCAAGCTACTGCTATATTTCCAAAGACACCATATCATTATCAAGCTAACTAAATTGAATAGTTTGCCATATTTTTTTGTTGGCAATCCAAAATCTAGCAGTTGATTCAAAGAAAATACCAATAAACATCAAAGTATCTAGCAATTACTAAACCAAAGTTCATTAGCAACTAGACAACCAAAGAAAAGTTGTTAGATAGATTCGTGATTAGTGCAGAACAGGCAATCTTCAAACCTAGCAAGATCTCTTTTCTTTAGGTTGTCTTTTGTCATCAACTTGTTATTGGCCAGGAGCCACAAGACCATGTGAATTCTAGGTGGGACACAAAGTTTCCAGACAACATGAATACAAACAGGTATCACTCTTACGAAATTGATAATACTATAAAGAGAACTAGTCGAGTATTGCCCTTTGCTATCCAATTGCCAGATTAGAGAATCAATATCAAGAAGCACCACAACACTACTAGCAAAGGGCAATTCTTACCATCTATCCATCATAGAGATTGAGAAAATCCTCCTAAATACTTATAAGCTTTAGGTGAGATCCATCTCAAACCTTTTGAATTACATAGCCTTTCTCAATACAGAGAACATAAAGGTCCCAGAACTGGACAACTAAAGGAGAAGTACTAAACCAGGTATCTTCCCAAAATCTAACCTTAAGCCCATCACCTATCACCCACCTATAACCAAACTTGGTAGATTTAGCTACAGGGAGGTTAAGAGAAGAGGAGGTGAAGAGTTGGGAGAGTTGGTATTGTATTTACTAGCAACGACATACTTCTAGAATTTCTCATCTTTATTGATGTACCTCCGTTTCTCCGGTGCTCCGCCCTGGACTGAACTCTGGGCGCGTGGAACACATGGACGACTGAGATCTCTCAAAAACGATACGGGAAGAGGGGCACGGTCGTCCTTTTATGCCGGCGTAGAGCGCGCGTAGAGCCCTGTACGAGCCCGCACCGGCCAGTTAACTTTTGTACGCTGAGGGTATACATGTATTGTACGTGGGCATTTCGTTTTCCCGTGTACCGTACGGTGGTCGTGGGCTAGCACGTGTCGACGAAAACTTCCAAAAACATCTCATCCTATAAGAGGGGGGAACCACCACCGGGCGCATCGCCCCCACCATTTTCCCCCAAATCGCCTCCCTCCCTTCCCTCCTTGTCGCATCGTCTCCCCCTCGTCTCCCTCGCCCCGCCACCGCACCTACACAATAGGTAAGTACATACAATAGGTAAGGACATATGAAAGGTGCATGAGTTTCCCATCTCAATAGGTAAGGACATACAATAGCCCATTTCGAAACTATGGTCGGCAATGCACCCCTTGCAAGGTGGTTAGAAAACAGTGGTTTAGTGTCGTACTGGCAAAACCAAACTTGAAATTACACTTATCACCATCCCTGCCATGATAGGATGAAACATCAGATGATAATCCATCAAACCTAGAACCGACAATTCAAATGGACGATAACACCATATGATCTTGTTGTTCGCCTAGACGGTAACAACGGGATAAGGTACTAGTAGAAATAGGGCTTTGGTCCAGGCCGGGTAAGCCCATTAATCCCGGTTCACTCATGAACCGGGACCCGTGGGGGCATCGGTCCCGGTTCGTGTGGCCAGGGGGCCGGCCAGGCCTCGGGGGCCATTGGTCCCAGTTCGTCTGGCCCCTTTGGTCCCGGTTCCAGACACAAACCGGGACCAATGGGCCTTGCTCCTGACCCACAACCATTAGTCCTGGTTTGTGGCTGGAACCGGGACCAAATGAGGTCCTTTAGTTCCGGTTCCAGCCACGAACCGGGACCAATGAGATACCTATATATACCCCCTTTCCCACGAGTAGAGCAGTGGAGTGCTTTGTTTTTTGGCCGGCCGTGGGAGAGCTTTGTGGTGCTCTAGCTCACCTCCTATGCACATGAGGTATTCGATGAAATGCCCGAGCCACACTTAAGCTTTCTCCTCTCGAAGCTCCTTGTCCAAATTCTATTTTCCTCAAGATTTGTCTAGGTTTGGTAGTCCGTCCTGTCCTGTCCCCATCCTCACCGCCGCTGATCGCCCGCGCCGATCTCGTCGCTGGCACCACCGTGGTGAGCCTCTTGATCTTATCTTCTTTCTAAAAGAAAAAAGGTTCTTACTTGTATGATTAGATAGATACTTGTGTAATTTTCTTACTTTTATTATTGCTTGTTATTATATAGTGCGATGGTTTTGGTCTCCGCCTTCGTCGGCCCTCGTCCTGTCTATGATTCGAATGTGGTATATATATTATCTTTTATAACCATTTCTTTCATTTAGTGTTTATGACAATTATGTCGACAAACATGATATAGATTTTTTTATCTAGGAGGTATCTGAACCGGAAATTCCAACCGACCTTATTGTCGAGAGGTTAAATTTAGTTGAAGAAGAAAACAATTACATATTTTTTAAAAAGAATTGAGGTGGAGAATGGAGTTGCATGTTGCGGATGTCAGTCGATGATCACAAGATCGAGATGGATGCAATGCGCTTGAAGATTAGAAAGATTAGAAAATAAGTCATTCATATCGAGGCTTGGTATCATTATGTCGTTGGATCAATTGTTACCTTAGTTGCGATTATGATCGCATTTGTTGTTGCATTGAAATGTTTTACATAGTTTCAATGTATGGTTTATTTAGATGCTCTAGAGAGCTATATATATGTTGTTCAATGAGAACTATATATGTATGAACTTTATGTATTTATTTTTTCAGTAATAACATTTGATCACTACTGTACTTTGGTTTTAATGTGATGATGAACTTCTATTAATTTGGTCACTTCTGTATTCATGATGTTCTGTAATGGTTTTTGACACACTTAATTATATATAATGCATGCAGATGAACCGGCAATGGATGTACGGTAACATACGCACCTCCGAGTACATTCAGGGCGTGCACACTTTTCTCGAAGTGGCTGAGGCAAACAAGCAGAATGGTTTTATGTGTTGTCCATGCCCTATATGTGGGAATACGAAGTCTTACTCTGACCGGAAAATCCTTCAGACCCACCTGCTTTATAAGGGTTTCATTCCACACTATAATGTTTGGACCAAGCACGGATAAAGAGGGGTTATGATGGAAGACACCGAAGAAGAAGAGGATGATGACAACTATGTGCCCCCTGAATACGGTGATGCTGCAATGGGGGAAGCTGAAGATCAAGAGGAACTAGATGATGTGCCTGATGATGATCTTCGCCGGGTCATTGTTGATGCAAAGAGACAATGCAAAAGTGAAAAGAAAAAGTTGAAGTTCGATCGCATGTTAGAGGATCACAAAAAAGGTTGTACCCCAATTGCAAAGATGGAAACACAAAGCTCGGTACCACACTGGAATTGTTGTAGTGGAAGGCAGAGGATGGTGTACCTGACAAAGGATTTGAGAAGCTACTGAAAATATTGAAGAAGA